TAAAATAAACAGACCTCAAGGGAGTCGTCAGGGCCTTGGTGCAATGTAGGGGAGCGACTCTAGAGCGGGATCGAGTTTTTTTTTTCTCGCTCCAGGCTCAGGGAAAAGTGCACTTTTTTGTTGCACACTAGAAAATTCTGAGTCCAACTAACACCAGGTTTTACCCCGTATCTGGCCCTTCTTCCACCTGATGCCTTTCCTTTGGGAGTTTTCAGAAGTTTAAACATAACTTCCCCACAACACCGGGGTGAAGAAAAATAATCAGAACCTTTAGGGCTTTTTCTCCTTCTAGTCTTCAATACTTCCTTTTCCAGGGCTGGTATATGTGGGGTTTTTTTATGTATTAACTCAATCATCATGACAGCCTTGTAAGATAGGATCATGTAATTGTACCCACTTTATAGATAGGGAATCTGAGGCAAGTTCAGAGAGATAGTAAGGGGCAGAGCAGGATTCAAACCCAGGAAGCCTGGCTCCAGAGTGCTCTATTGTAACTCAAAATACCTTTTAATACTAATTATTCCTTACTGTGTTTACAAACTGCATTGTCTGATGTTATTTTATTTGACTTTTCAAGGCTCTGGGAAGGAAGCAGGGTGATCATCCTTCCTCGTGAAAAAGGTGAAGCTCAGAGAGGATGACAGAGTTTCCCAGAGCCACACACCTAGGACACGGGGCATCCTAGGACTCGGGAACCCAGGCCACAGACACCAAACCTCCTGCGATTTTCACTGAGGTTTCTCTAGCTGTTCTTTGTGATAAAAAAAGAAAGAAATTTCCTCAGGACCCGAATGCTTATTTGTTTGGCCATTTTAAGGAAAAAATGTTTCTCGCTGAAGAGGAGATATTTACTAGCAGCACGTGGGCATGAGATACTTACATGTAACCCTTAAATTTGTTGAGGCGGTTGTTGGGTTTCTCACACACGATGGTGTTGTGGAAGTGTTCTGGTTTGAACTGGGCCTCCTGTGAGAGAGAGGATGTCACAAGATTATTAAGAGGGATCTACTTTTCATAGATCATCGGGGCGCTAATTGCTGCAAATAAGGTAATCCCTGCTTTGTCGCAATGTGATAGTTGTCATGTATTAGAAGACAAAGTTAAATCCTCATGAAAGAGGAGAACCTAGATGCAAATAAAATTTGGATTGACAGCAGAGAAAAGGGAGTGAATTTACGGCTGAAAGCTCCAAGGTACAGCCAGCTGTTCAAAGGGGCAAATTGATTAGAAGAAATGATAGCATTTTCTGGCTTCGTCCATTGGATCTGTGGGGACACCAGCAGACCGTCTGGTGTTACTTGCACAGCACACTGTCCTGGTGAACATTCTTGGAGCCAAGTACTTGAAACACTTCCTTGACTCTCTACTTTTTCTCTTTCATTAGGTATTTTATTGTATAATCTTTTCTGGTCCAATGGGGGTGGGGATACAACTAGTGGTGGGGAAATCTTGCTTTCTAATTCTAGGACTACTACTATGTTCAACTCCCGAGCCTCAGTTTCCCCATGTGTAGAATGGGAGTGCCACCCCCCTTGTCCATCTCATTTGTGCCCCATGAGACAGAATCCATGTGGGAGAGGAGTGAGAGGTGCAGCGTGCTAAGCAAATGGAAGAAATGCTAGGGGCGGGACTGGAAACGGTTGCTTGGGTAGAGCTTTTAGCACAGGGAGCGAATTTATGGCTGAAAGCTCCAAGGTATAGCTGTTCAAAGGGGCAAATTGATTAGAAGAAATGATAGCATTTTCTGGCTTCGTGTAAATATACTGTCCATTGGATCTGTGGAGGCACCAGCATAAATAAACTCTCCAGTCACTTGAAATAAATTACCCATCCAGGAGTTTCTAAAAATATGGCCCTTTTCCCTCCAGGTATCGATTCTTTCAGGGACAAACACTTGCCGAGTTCTGAGATGATGACAAATCATGCTGTAATTTGTCAGCTGCTTTCGTGCCCTGATTAAGCTGTGTGCTTCACTCTGATCCATCCACTCGGCTCGCTGCTGGCTTTCTGAGTCCAAACACAGTTCAGGGAGGAGTGGCCTCGGAGTCTGAGAGCTAAAGATCTTGCTGCAGCGAGTCCCCGATGTCTGTTTAATGGGACCTGGTGGATCCCTGGTAATGGCCAAGTTTCCCTTTCTTGTCCCAGTGACCTTCCTCTTAAAGTACCCCTTGCTTTGCTTTGCTTCTGGGCATTGGCCTTGGGTCCTCTGTCTGACTCCCTCTCCTCTTGGAGAAGTGACCTTGCCCTTTCTAACCACCAGTCCCCTGGGCCACCTTCCTTCCCTCCCCAAGATGGGCTGTGGAGAGGAGTGAGTGGGCCCTGCTGCATCCAAAGACAACCCCTCAGGCCCTGCTGCCTTTGAAGCATTTGCCGAAACTCACTCCTGGGAGCTGTGAGGAGAGACCAAGGACAGGAGGGCATCGCCACGCCTTCCAACCCTGCCAGGCCCTTAATTGAATCAGGAGTTTGGATTCCCTTTTGATTCCCTGCCTCACAGCTTCTCTTAGCTTGTGGATGAAGCTCACCTAAGCAACTTCTCTTCCCACCAAGCCTTCTACCGAAGGCACTGACCCTGGTGGAAGTCTCACTAACAGCAAAATGGCCAGGAAAAGACAAACTCTTCCCAGAAAGAAAAGTGCATGTCTCTGCATTCTCCAGGCCAAGCCTACCTACCCTGAGCACATAGTATGTTCCAGGAACCTGCCATTAAGTCCTCACAGTAGTCTTAAGAGGTTTTGACAGATGTGCAAATGGAGACTGAACTAAAGCCATTGCTTTACAGTTGGTAAGTGGCAGAGACAGGATTGCAATGGATATGATTGGAATCCAAAGCCAACCGTGATCATACGCACTATCATCATCATCATCATCATCATCATCATCATAATCATCATCATATTTATTCCTCTTCCTTCTGTTAGTGTGATAACCATTGCTCTAGCATCTATTGGATGCTTATTTTGTGTCAAGAACCAACTATGTATTTTATACATGCTATTTCCTTTAATTCCCTAAAAAGGATCTAACTAGTCTCACTCATTCGTTCATGCATTCAAGCTTTATTGAATGCTATCTGAACCAGAGTGAGGGAGAATCAGAGAGAAGAGGTGATTGACACAAATCAGTTATTGCAGCTGTAACACCACTCAAAGTTCCCAGTTCAACTCATGTATCAATATCGGTATCTATGAAAGTAGAGGAAAATCAGCCAAGGCCAAGGGTCAGTGTGTAATGACTCCCCAGGTGAACGCACTCCTCACTGACCTATGGCCCAGAAACAGCCAGCTGCCTCCTCCCAGCCCCACTGGGAAGGCCACAGGGAAGCAAACAGCCTGAAATATATTCCAGTATCTGGAACAGGCCATTTCACTTGCACTAGTCTTAACTGTTACTTTTCTAGGCTGAGTTTCCACTGTTCTTCACAGTTGAATTTCAAGTTGGTCTATACATATAATTGCATAAAGGCAAGAACTCTCTTTTGAAATACTTTGTAGTTTTCTGGTGATCACTGTCCACTCTACTCCTCTTTCATGAAGAACCATTTAACTTCCTTATGGGGAACTATCTCCCCTCCATGGTTTCACAATTTCAATGGGAATTAAGTCAAGATGCCCTGCCCCCTCGACTCTCCCACTGTGGGACTTTGACTTGAGTGGAATGACTCAAGGAGGAAAAAACAATTGAGACCATTAAGTAATTGCTGCTACCCATCTCTCCCACTGCACTGTTTCCTGGTTCTTGTTTTTGAGCCCGAGTCTTCAGCTTTGATTCTGTGAGCTATATTGTGTGCTTCTTCCCGTCCATCCCATCCCCCCCCAAATTTTTTGCAATAATTCTGTTTTGCTTAGTTAACTCATTTCTGTTGCTTGCAGACCGAGAATCCTAACCAACACAGTGGCCTACTCAGTTGCATGGGCATATCTGGGCTTTTAAAAGATAATGATGTTTATTAATTTGGTAACGTTACAGTTCAGAAAATGCTGCCTCTTATTTATTTGACCTTATTTGATCTTCACAACTCTCTCGTGACATGTTCAGGACAGGTTATTCTGTTTTATTGGAGATAAAATGAAACGTTGATTACTCTCAAGTAATTTACCCAAGGTCTCACAGCTCATGAGCACAGAGGTTTGTCTGGTTCTAAAATGTGCACTGTTCTTTGCTTGATTTAACTAATTAATGCTGTTTGCCAACAGAGCAAACCCTCTTGGCTCTTTTCATGATTTCTTTGCAAGTTTTCCATATTGATAATTCTCTTAAACTTTCATAGCCAAGCTCAAGAGTTACACCTCTTAAGGATCCTCTGTTTACCACATACCATTGCAATCTCTCCTTCCTTTGAACCTAGACAATTCTTAAATATCTATGCCACTCACTTTAAATTTATCTTATACTTTTAAGTGTCAAGTACCAAGCTGTTTCTATAAGCCAATTGGTAGATTAAGTATGGCAAATGGTCCACAGATTCCCATATGCACCCACATGTCATCTGTAGACCGAGTAAAAATAAGTCTCACTTATATATGGTTTTCCAATTTCTACAGGAATTCCTGAAATCAATAAATTATAAATCCATGTTAAGAAGTCATCAAATTCATGGTAACTCTTTGTTATTATTTTCTTAAATAAAGGACTCTGAAAGGACAACTACTTTCAGGGAGGAGAGCTTGGAGGGGTGGGTTAAGACTTCCAAAAATTTTTGATAGACACAGGGATTTAAATTTAAAGAAAAATGGAGCCCTAGCCCTAAGGTCTTAGAGGACAGAAAGTATATCTTAGAGCACTTTGAAAGCCCTCCACAGCCATTAGGAAATATTCAAGGATGGTGCTGTTAATTGAAAAAAAGAGAAATTAGCTCAACCCTTTCTTTAAACGCAGAATGCATTTATTTACAGAGTTGTTACTATGACCTGAGATGGGTATGAAAAAGAAGAGTTGAACCAGGGATCACCAAGCTTTTGTGCAGCTCTGAGAGTCTGTTACCCATACAATCCTCAGGCTAGAACCACCCCTACCACCCCACCACCCCCACACCACACAGGGGTTAGGGTGGCAAAGCAGCAATGGTAACTCATTTGTAGTGCATGCCTGTGGACTCTGCAGGGACCAGGGTTACAGGGTACACAATCTCCACCAACCCTGGCAGCTATTAGAAGGAGGTACACTGCAACCTTGAAAGAATGCTATTTAAAGTTTTTTTTTTGCATACTAGTTTGGATAAATTGTAGAAGCAAATGTTCTTCATGCCCCAGCTGCTGAGCCCGTTAACAGAGGTTTCCTTCCTGGCATACAAATTAACCTGCTGATTTCTGAGAATCCTCTCTGAAAACTAATGACAGCTACCAGCACTTGATAACCTTCTTGCTTCCGGGTGGGGTAGAAGTCCTTTTCAAGATCAGCCACCATAGGCTGACTGGCAGCTACTGTCCCCTCTGATCTGGATGAGGAAATGGTCTGCATATTCAATGACTCTGGGTCCCTCCTACAAAAGCACACAGATTGGTCTGGAGGGCTCTGCCTTATAGTCCATGTGCCCTTTTCTCAAGTGGACAAATGTTGACTAAATGTAATCTTGAAATCTTTCCTTTAAAAATTATTTATTTTATTAATATTTTAAAAAATATATTTTTATTGATTTCAGAGAGGGAGGGAGAGGGAGAGATAGAAACATCAATGATGAGAGAGAGCCACTGATAGGCTGCCTCCTGCACTCCCCACACTGGGAATGGAGCCCACAACCCGGGCACATGCCTTAACCGGGAATTGAATCATGATCTCCTGGTTCATAGGTCGACACTCAACCACTGAGCCATATCAGCTGGCCTTGAAATCTTTCTTTTTAAATTGACTTAAAATTATATTAGTTTTAGGTGTCAACATAAGAGTACTGAGGTCATGGCAAAAGAAGTCAGGAGTCAATTTGAAGAAGTTCCCACTGAGTGGGACAATCAACAAAGGTAATAACT